CCCCCCCCACCCACAATGAAGACTGCGTTTGAAAACGAGGCAAATGGAGTGTAAATTTTGGTTCAGGATAATGAAATTTACATTCTGATTCACTTTTTCCTGTGTGGCAACATTACATTTTTGTATTGACAAATGTCAGACCAATGCATATTTACATTGATAATAAGATGTTAAAGTACATCGATAAAAATGAAGTAAATTTGCATTTAAGTGTGTTTTTGATAAAAAAAAAACATATGCTTTATTGGAATTCGTGTTTACATGCATTATAGCTAAAAGTCAGTTTGGTAAGAAGGTAAATTTGTCAATAACTAACCCAACTTTGCAATTTAAATGAACCGTTTTACACTCTACATATTTGCATCGTTTTCAAACGCAACCTAAGGAGCAACGAGAAAAGTTGGGACGAAGGTGATCATGTAAGTGGTGCTTGGAAAGAAAGGTTTGGTGCATGATGGAGTTGGTAAAGGGGCTTGAGACCAGCTCAAGATCAACCCTTCTATTAGAGAGGGAAGTTAGAAACCTTGGTCCAGGTGTCGCAAGGGAGAAGAGCGAAAGCTGGAGAGGCAGGGTTTGCGTCTTTGATTAGAGGAGTCCATATCGCCCCACAGGGGGCTGCCCCACAATGCCCCTCATCACATCCTCACCGTGTATCGGGAACATCTCCCGATGGTAACATCATTGAAATTGGTACTGTCATCGGGAAATATTCCCGATGCACGGCAGGGATGTGCTCTGGGGCGGAGATGTGAACTCCGATTAGAGCCTCAAGAGTTAGAGCCCATAAGTGGATAAAAGGAGGGCAGGTCTGTGGAAAGGTTAATAGACCAAGAAGTCTGGGTGGCATAATCTTGTAGCCTTTTCTTCTTGGGTGGTAAAGCCCGTGTAAGGGAAGCATTGAGGAACTTTGATTAGAACCGCATATCTCTACCCGTAAATTAATTAGAAACTTTATTTTTCGACTGCAAGTCACTTGTTCAATTAGCTCCGATAATGGATGGGTGCAAAGTGAACTTCACATTAAAGTATGGTTTTCAAAAACCATTGATTTGGTCAGCAAATTGCTGATTTGGGCATACAAACCGTTCAATGATTTGGTCATTTTTATTTTTTTAATTTTTCAATTTTTTTGCCAAAATGGGCGTTCATTTGGTTTGAATGATCGGACCCCTGATTGGTTCGTTGTCCGATTCGATTTTAAAAACCTTACATAAAAGTAGCAGATATTCATGGAGTATAGTTACCACAATAACGTCAAATTGGTTTGTGTTAATTTTCTTTCTTTGGTTCTTATTTATCTATATATTTTTATAGTTTTATACATCAGGATTGTAGATCAAAAATCTAAAAACACAAATAGATGTTGGATATTAATTGATAGAAGGGCACAATTCCTTTTGGAAGCTAAAACTAGCATAGACAGTTCTACTACTCTCAAAGGCATCCCTTTATGAAGTTTAAATTAATTAAGTCCCCATAACTAATTGTCCCTCATCTCCCTACAGAATTCACCCAAATCCCAACTAAGACAATTAAACTTCAAAATGAATATATAATCAAAGGGATAGGTTGGTGGTTTTGGAGATAAAACTTAATTACTGAAAATATATATAACATATATACCTCTAT